AAAAAAAAAAAAAAAAAAAAAAAAAAAAATATATATATATATATATATATATATATATATATATATATATAGTGTGTGTGTGTGTGTGTGTGTGTGTGTGTGTGTGTGTGTGTGTGTGTGTGTGTGTAGTAAATTATGATTATGGACGACTTATATAGTGAGTGCAGACTGTTTGATATAAAGCGATTCATATTATAGTGTTATGATATGAGTAATAATAAGTGGAGAAGGAAGATAGTACGCTTTTAATGGATATGTCAATGGTATTAGTACTTATGGGTGACTTTAGTGAAAATCTATTTCGTAATGATGGCAATGATACCACCCATGCTTTAGACGCTCGAGTGCAACGTTCATTAGGAGATTAGCAAAGTCGAAGATGAGATGGGGATATTGATCTGGTTATCGCTAAAAAGAGAAAACAAAAGAAGGGTGAGGAATAGACGTCGAGGAACAAGAAGAAGGAAGCGAGGAAGCGAGGAAGGGGAGAGGAAAAAAGAGAAAGAGAGAAGGGAAGGAAGGCAAGAAGTGTGATAGAAGTAAGACCTCAGGCTTAGGAGGCGGCCATGCAACGTCATTGCACTCGGGACACAAGAACTTACAAATGATCGGAGATGAGAGCGATGAAGCACAAAGGAAGGAGGTCACTGATGACGATGTCCTTTGAGGGAGAGAGAACGTCGGTGGGAGGAGGAGGAGGAAAAGGGAGGGAGGGAGGGAGGAGGGAGTGGAGGCAGTGAAGATGCGCACTTCAATTTTGCAACATTGCTAAGGAGGCGGAGCACGTGGTAAGCTTTGTTTCGTTTGTTGTGTTGTGGCCATCGATCTTGTTTTTTTTTACTCGGTCTTTCTTCTCTCCCCTTGTTCTTCTTTCTTTTTGCTTCTGCCTTTTCATTCCTCTCTTCTGATATTTCATCTCATCTCTCTTGTCCTCCTCCTCTTCATCTCTTCACTACGATTTTTTTTCGTATTCTGCTCTTTCATTGTCTGAGGGGAATCGTCATCCTCGAAAAGGCCTTTAGTGTTTATTTATTTATTTGTGATATTTTTTCTTCTCCTTTTCGGAAACGTTGCATTTCTCTCTTTTTCTTTCTCTCTCTTTCTCTTTCTCTTCCCCTTTCCCCACTCTCCTACCCTTCCTCCCTCACTCCCTTCCTCCTCTCCTCACTCCCTTCCCCCTCCCCTCACTCCTCTTCCCTCTCCCCTCTCCCTCATCTCGGAACACCATTTTTCAAGATAGATAAATGAATATGCAAATGCATTTTCGTCCTCATACTCGGTTTCACCCTTCAGTGCAATTTATCAAGAAACGCTGGACAACAAATATTAAAAAAAGAAAATAGTCATACAGTCAGGCTTGATATGCGCGAGACAGCATAGTAAACATGTGGACACTCCAGACACCACGTAGTCTCGTTAACAAACCTTTAGACAACACAGTCATGTCAGTATACTTACATTACTAGAATATACATAGGTATGCTCAAGGATATTGCTTTTTACTATTGTCATAAAAGTTATTAGCAACTTCAGTAATCCTCGGAGAACTTGATGTTGCTATTATCATCACTGTATCAGCATCATTATTATTTTTATTACCATCGCCATTGATATAATTATGACTTGATAAACACCATTATCATTTTCATTGTCTTTATCACCATCATTGTCATCACTACCTTTACCACCATTGTCATCATTATCGTCATCTCTATCGTCATAATATTTATCATCGTCATCGTCGTCGTTGCATCATTATCTTCCACGTGATCGTTCCTCACCTCACCGTAATCATAATCATCATCGCCATCACCACCCCACCATCATCATCATCACTCCACCACCATCATTATCACCACCCCCGCCATCATCATTATCACCATCACCATCATCATTATCACCCCCACCATCACTATCACCACCCCACCATCATCATTATCACCACCACCATCACAATCACCACCCCACCATCATTATCACCACCACCACCATCATCACTACCACCACCACCGTCTTTATTACCACCTCCACCACCACCATCATTATCACTACCATCATCATCACCACACCACCATCATCATCATCACTACCACCACCATCATTATCATCATCACTACCACCACCACCATCATTATCACCACCACCATCATCATCACCACCACCAATCATCACTACCACCACCACCATTATCACCACCACCACCATTATCACCACCACCACCATCATTATCACCACCACCACCATCATTATCAACCACCACCACCATCATTACACTACCACCACCATCATTAACACTACCACCACCATCATCATCATTACACCACCACCATTATTATCACCACCACCATCATCATTATCACCACCACCATTATTATCCCCACCACCACCGCCGCCGCCGCCATGTTGTACCACCCTGATCGAGTGACCATGCTGTGCCGTGGGTGTGTCTTTCCCTTACTGATTAGCAGGTGGAGAATCAGCCCGCATGACGTCATCCCTT